AAAAAAAAAATGTTATTGTGTTTTTAAAAGCATGCAGCAAATGAAAATATGCAATTAATCTGTTAAAATTTGTTACTGTGGGTTAACAAATTTACATTAGTAGGCTATTCTTATGCTTGGCTTCACAGATAGCAACAGAGTCTGGGCCAAATTTGGGTTACATCCACTTCTTGCTTTTTTGTCTTGATTGCAAATGTTTTTTGTTGTTTTTTTATGTACGGTGGATAATTAAAACAAAAACCAGGCGTGTGTATTTATAACATCAACCAGGCCTACATTATTTTTTTCAGAAATGGAAGTAACTCAAAATGTTGTGTGTTTGTAATTTGAATATTTTTATCTATAGGCCTATACAGCAAAACTATAGAGCTTCCAGTAGGTTATTTTATGGAGCTGTAAACACGGGAATCTCCGACCGCATGCAAACTTTGACGAACACCCAATTCATATATCAAACTAGGCTATATGTTATTAAATTGTACATAGGCTATATATCAGATAATTTTATTTACAAGTTTCATGTTTGTGTTTATCCCCCCCCCTTAAAAAAAAGTGCGGCCCCCCAAAAAATTGTGCCTGCCCCCTCACTTTGTGCACTCTGGCGCCGACCCTGCTATTAATGTAACAGGAAGACCGTGCCAAATTAGACAACTTCAAGCTGTTGTGGTCACGCCGCGACAGTGCTCGTGTCTGTTGTAGACATTACTATATATGTCAAGCAGATAACGTTATTATTGCTAACATAGTAACATTGAAAAATACATTGGCATCATCTGTATTAAAGAGAAAATAATAATTTTTTTATTTGATATTTAAGTGAATAAAATAGCCTTGACAGCCTTGGAGATCCACAACTATTGACTTTGTTCTCTCTTACCGGACTCGTGCGTGTGTGTGTAGGTGATGCAGGGTTGCCAGGTTTTCGCAACAAAACCCGCCCAGTTGCTACTCAAAACTAGCCCAAAACTAGCCCAATTGCCTTTTGAGGGGGGTTCCCCGGTAAAAAACAAAAACAAAAAAAACATCACGTTCCGAGGGGTAGTTTTTCAGCGGGGTTCCTCCGGTAAAATTTGCATGCGTTATTGGGGTCGCTTCAACCCGCGGACATGAAAA